TCTGTAACTACGCGTGATGAATCAATCATTCATTCACACTAACGAAAAAAAAAAAAAAGATTTTAAGTAAAATATACGATGATTTATTTACATGGACACTGATTAAAAAAGGTCGGTCCAATTAATTATTTACTTAATAATTAATTAAAGTGTTGTGTGTATTTTTGGATTCCCATAATGTTTTGAGGGGTATATAAAGGAGATTATTTTTCTATATTTAATGTCTACGAATAAAATGGAACATATCCTCGTTCCAATATTAATGCTGTTTATTTAGGTTTTATGATTAGAGTGTATAAAGACACTCCAAAATAATATCATGAATAATGTTTTTATACGTATAATACATAAAATAAAATCTCTTTCCTCATAGTTGGTCCCTGATTTACTATCAAACATAGGTTCCAATTGCAATTGTGAATTGCCAAGAAGAATTAATGGGTGGGACTTTAAATTTTGATTCAAAACCCTTTATTTTTAAAAATAAAATAAAATATAGCGTAAATTTTGCACACAAACCCTAACTAAGAAAATAAATTCACTTTGGTGCTTTCTAATTTATTTATGGATCATTTTTGGTATGTAGCGGGTTAACTCAACAGGAAGAACATAACCAAAACACATGACGTCATTGTCAAAGTCAATAGGTTGACTTTATCTGAACCAACTCCCGATGGATACCAACCCAACGGGTCAAAACGTGACAAATCGGGTCAAAATCAAAAACCTCAAAACTCAAAAATATAAGGAGAGAGATCTAATTAAAACCCGTGAACACTTGTTTCATCTTCTTCACAAAAAACCACACGTCCAAATCACAACCTCAAATCTCTCTCTCTCACAGACACATACACATAATTACATAAACACGTGAATTTGCTCTCTTTCTGGTTCACTCATCTACCATCTATATAAATCTGAAAGAGTGTTTGAAACCCACATCGAAAAATCTATCCTTTTTGTTCCTTCCCCGGCGAATCTCCGGGGAAATTGGTCATCGGTAATCACGGCTATTTACGGGATAAAGTCACGGCCTTTGAGCTTTCATGTCCAACGAAAGGGTTGTTTAATCATAACTAATCCTTTGCCGCACGGAGGACGTGGAGCTCTGCCGTCTGAAGGCGGCAGTCCTTCCGATCTCCTCTTCCTCGCCGGAGGTGGTTCCACAAATACCCACTAACGCTAACCCTTTTTCCTAATTAGGTTTTTTAGTTCTTAGTCCTGTATAAGTTTGTTACCTTCGAGATTCGAAAATTTGGGAGTAATGTTGTTGAAGATCAAAAGAGTTCCAACAGTTGTGTCGAATTATCAGAAAGATGAAACGGTGGAAGAAGGTGGATGTGGTCGGAATTGCTTGAGCAAGTGTTGTATCAATGGTACATTTTAGAGCTGGCAAAATTCTTCTTTTTGTTTGAATTTGAATTGGTGCTGATCTTTTGTTTGTATTTCAGGGGCAAGACTTCCTTTATATACTTGCAAGAATCTTGATACATTCGTCGGAGAGAAGTTAGAATCTCCGGTGACGTTCCTCGAATCTCTAGTTCTTGGAGAGGTAGTGGTTTTAGATACATGTTAAAAAGTTGTCATTTTGTTAACCAATTCGTTAATTGTTTGAGTAATGTATCAATCCTTATGTTTTCTAGTGGGAAGATCGTTTCCAAAGAGGACTTTTTCGCTACGATGTCACCGCCTGCGAAACCAAGGTATTATTGTCTCTTTGATTCGTGGTTGATTGATTGACATTTAGAGCCAAATCTGTTTGATGTTTACTTGACCTGAAGCTTAAAGTCTCAGTTCACATTGTTAATGACTTGATGTTGACTTGGAGATTAAGAATCAATGTTGGGGTCGGATTTCACCCATCCTTTGAGACCGAGCCAAACTTCAACACCTCGGGTTATCCTGCTAGTCAGCTCGGGTACCCTGCCAGTCAGTCTGCCAGTCAGCTCGGGTATCCTGCCAGTCAGTCTGCCAGTCAGCTCGGGGTACACAGTCAGCTCGGGGTACACTGCCGAGCCTTATACTGCAGTTACCCCGAGGCAAAGTCTCAGTGCTACCCGAGGCTCAGTGCTACCCGAGGCAAAGTCTCAGTGCTACCCGAGGTGAAATGTGTATTGTTCCCGAGG